CAGCCCCCGCTGCACCCCCACAGCCCCCTGCCTGCACCCCCAGCTCCCCTTGCCTGTGCACCCCACATCCACCCACCAGCATCCCCAGCTCCTCTCTGCCTGTGCACCCATCCCCCACCTGCACCCCCACATCAGCCCCCCCAGCTCCCCTCTGCCTGTGCACCTCCCATTCCCCCACCTGCATCCCCACATCCTCCTGCCAGCACCCCCAGCTCCCCTCTGCCTATGCAGCACCCCCGCAGCGCTCTCACGTACCCCCTCTTGGCACCCCCAGACCCCCACTTAACCCTCCCCACAAACACAGACGGACCCGACACCTCCACATGCCTCCTGGACCCCTGGTGGCAGCCCTGTGCTGTAACGGGGAGGGGGACGCTGGGCCCTGCACCCCAACATCCTGGGGACAGAGCAGGGTTCAGTGATGAACAAGGCAGCCACCTAGTGGGCAGTGGGGATCACTACACCCCCTTCATTGCAATGATCCTCAGACCCCAGCCACTAGGATGCTCCCTGCCCCATAACTCCCCCACCCCATAACCCCTGCACCCCGGCCCCTGGAACCCACCCTGCCCCATAACCCACCACCCCAGCCACTGGGAAGCCCCCTGTCCCATAGCCCCCCCACCTCGGGCTCTGGGACGCCCCCTGTCCCATAACCCCCCAGCCCCTGGGACTCCCCCTGCCCCAAACCCACCCCCACCCCGGCCCCTGGGACCCGCCCCGCCCCATACCCCCCCCCCACTCCAGCCCCAGTACGTGCCCCGCCCCCAACGGGCTGTGTTCTCCCCCCAGGCACGCCAAGGTGAAGGGGAAGTTCAAGGAGTCGTATCTGTCGGCCGCCCAGTCCGTCAAACCCCTCATCAACGCCGAGGAGAAGCTGCCCCGAGAGAAACTCAACCCCCCCACGCCCAGCATCTACGTGAGTGATGCCGCCAGGGGGCAGGGACCCAGGAATCTGACTCGTGTGGGGGGAGATACCGGCTTGGGGGTCTGGGCTGAAGGCGGACGGGGATACCGGAGGAGGAGAACAGACGGGGCTGGGGTGGGATGGGGATACCGGAGGGGGCTGGGAGCACACAGGGATACTGGAGGCACCCGGGGGGATGGGGACACCGGAGAGGTCTGGGGGCGGCAGGGATACCGGAGGGGTCTGTGGTTAGTGGAGGGAGCTGGGAGCAGACGGGGATACTGAGGGGGACACCAGAGGGGGCTGGGAGCAGATGGGGATACCGGAGGGGCCCAGGGAACCAGAGGGGGCTGAGAGCAGACGGGGATACTGGGGGGGGACGGGATACCAGAGGGGGCTGGGAGCAGACGGGGATACCGGAGGGGCCCGGGGGACGGGGATACCAGAGGGGGCTGGGAGCGAGGACGGGGATACGT